TAAAAAGTTGTGCAAATATGTACCGGTAACTTGTTTTTCAAAATATTAAGGGATGTGTTCCCAAACAGCCATCTCTTTCCTGACAATCCCCTTTGTGCATATTCTCTTACATATGGTAAGTAAACATTAAAACACCTGTGCCTTTCAGTCAGGTGCGGCTAATGTATGTACAAAACAGAATTTTCCCCTGATTTTAGCTTGTGCAGCTAATATTCAGGTGCGCTTTGTAGTCCGGAAAATACAGTACTCATTTCTAATCTTGTTTATCCTGGTTACTCTCAATGAAAATCTCTTACCTGCTCCCTACTCTCACTATAGATCAAAATGTTGTCTTCAAAAATCGTAGTCCACAGAGACTCCTGCCAGACCCCAACCTGACTCAGACCTCAATCACCACAGAAAACAAGAAGGGGCACACAGCTAATCCTGGATTTAATACCACAGCCACCTTGAACCCCTCTGTAATTCATATGACACATTTTGCCATTGTTTTGCTGTTCTCATACATCTCCTGCACCACCCTCACATACTTCTCTGCAAATCCCAACTTCCTCTCAGCACCCTATCATACACTTTCTCTAAATCTACAAAGACACAGCCAACCCCTCTGGAAAACTCAAGAAACAAAATAAATAAAGTGAAAACCAGTGGAGGAAGCTCATAAAAAAATACATAAATAAAAATAGGTTTACTTACCAGCACCCATAATAAGACCTGGAGCAGAGTCTTTGGTGTGGACAGTCCCAGACACATAGGGGTTGTCTGCCCAGCGCAAGTGGAGGTGGAGGTGACAGTCCGGCTGCAGAGGAGACACATGTAGAAAGAACTTAGGAAGCACTCAGATCCACCCACCAAAACAATGTTCAATGTGGCCCAAAGTACTTAGAGTAAAATAGTGGGTCTACTGAATACCGGAGCACTCGCTCAGCAATATTTAATGAGTCTTACGACAGAGATACCTGATTATCCCACTGCAAACTCATCTCAGTTCAAAAGGGTTTTAGTTCGGTTAATCAAACTGTATTTGTGACAGATATTTAATGTATGATAATTTATTTCAAATATGAGAATCAGAGTGGAGAGTCACCAGTGCAAACGTTAGGCATTTTATGAATTACATTTCCACTTGTTGCTTCAAACCCTAATGCCAAGGATTTTGACTGCAGTTTCAATAGAAATGTATTGTTTTGCACAAAAGATTGTCATGAACTGTTTCTGATAATATATCAAAAACCAGTGTTTGCAAACAGCTGGAAAGCAAGTTTGATCTATAAGAACCTGAAGACTTGTTGGTTGCATCAGATCATTACTCACCAAGATCCATCTCTGTTTTATGAATTACAAACAGTATATTACATCACTTTGGCTCATTCCAAAATAGGGATTTCAGTATGTTTTCTCATAGATTTCAAAGCAGTGAAGACAAATTATTGGTTAGGTAGCACAGGACATATTCTTCAGCAGTGTAAGTTAAGTACCATCAGAGGTGTAGTGCTGTTTGTCTAAACACTGTTTTAAAAAAAAACTGTTTTACAACTACTCTTTCAAGAATTTCTGAAATAAAAAGGCGGCTGGCGATTGGCCTATAATTAACTAAAACAGCTAGGTCAAGTGCTGGCTTTTTAAGTAATGGTTTAATTTTTGCCACCTTAAAAGCCTGTGGCGTGTAGCATGTTACACTGATCACATTTAAGATCGACGCAATCATTAATGGTAGGAGTTTTATAGGAACGGGGTTTAAGAATGGGAACAAATTAACCTTTTATATCCTATGTAATTTTGCCAGTGTCTGGCTATATGTGCTTTGTGCGGAATTGCTCAATAAATATATAAAAATCTTTTAGCATCTGCACATTTCTTTGTGGTGCTTCATGGAGCACGCAAACTACAACACACCGCATTCCGAAACGATAAACCTCTCCTGTGTATAGAGGTCATTTCTCTTAACCAGTCTCTGTCAGGTAATGGCTACAGCTGACAGCACGTGCCTGTTACACTGACACATAGATAGTAGATGGTACATCTGCTATCTGGCTTTGTCTATCTCTGTGAGTTGTGATGTCAGTGAGGCAATACATGTGATGTCAGCTTTTGAAATAAAGCCACCTCTCTGACTGATAGATGTAATAACTGGAATTCAGGCAAGGTAATTCTGTTGAGGTATGGAAGAGGCTAAAGGGAAGAGAGGTCAATATCAGAGCGACCAACCACATGCGTGCATGGCTCAGAGATGGTAAATGAGTCTCAAACTGATATCTGTGTCCTACCTCCAGATGTGTCAGCTGACTGAAGCGATGGTTCAAAAAAGAACAGACTCACACCCCCTCTATCGCCCTGCGAGGTATGATGTATGGATATCAGACTGCGGGTGACTCATTGCTCTTTGCTGACTAGCCTACCCCTGCAGCAGCAACTTTGACAAGATGGATGGAAAAGCTAGGAGGGCATCTCAAACACATCCTTCAATGTACAACACTCATCCTTCCTTCGCTTACTTCATGCTTACACTCTGAACAACCTAGTCAACAGGTCTGAACAGTCCGATTGATTGCTGCTTGTGCAAGACTGCATCCGCACTTCAGTTTATAGATACAAAGTCTAAACCAAGTGTCTACTACTATGTACAATATGCATGACTATGTGCAGTACTAACGTACTCTGTAAAAATCTGTATTGAGTACAGACTAGTTTGGTTAGAAGGGTGCTTACCGCTTTGCAACTGACGGGTTTGCCATTCATGTCAGTGGTAGGTGGGGCCAAGGGTTCCCAGTCACGTCCTTTGTTGTAAGTTATTACAGTTGCCACTCTTCCATCAATTTTCTGGTTTGCCAAGAAGACTCCTTTGATTCCACGTACCTGACAGAATGAGATAGATTTTTCATAGCTTGGGTTAATTTTGCAAAAAGTTATTTCTGTTGCCCTTTTAAATAAATCTTTGAACATGATGCAAGTCATTTTGAAAAAAAAATGTGGTATATATGTAACTACTGCTTAATCTTCTGTCAGCTGCTCCCTCTAGGGCAGTGGTGGGGAAACTCCAGGCCTCAAGGGCTGGTTCATTACTTGGCCTCTGGAGAACTTCAAGACATGTTGAGGAGGTAATTTAACCATTTAAATTAGCTGTGTTGGGTCAAGGACACATCTAAAACCTGCAGGACACCAGCCGTCGAGGCCTGGAGTTCCCCTACACCTGCTATAGGGGTTACCGCAGCAGATCATCTCATCCTATCCCTAGAAGGTCACCCCGAATGACAATCTTAATATATTCTACCATCTCTATCTCTGCCTCCTGTCTTTTTATTAATGTCATCATCTCCAAAACATACATCATACTAGGTCTCAGTACCCTCTTACAAGTCTTTCCTTTCATTGTGTTGATGCATGCTCAATCATCCAGGTAAGGAAATCCCCCAAAACTGATTCTGGATGATCATGTTTACTGTAAACCAACACATACATATCAGTATGTAAGATTTGATCATTATCATCCACTGGAGCACAAACTGGGTGTCATCAGGGCTATACAACACAGAGTGAACACAATCCCCACGGATACAGCAGCCAGGGAAGCAAGAATCACTTGGATGTGCGAGGAAACATTTTTCCCACTGAAAAATTTACGTCCAGATGAACAGAATCAACTTTATGGGCTTTCCTTGAATTCTTGCTACCTGTCACAGAACAAGAATTTATGTTAACTACTAAAACAAAATGTGACACAGATGCTAAAATAAAGACAAAGTTGTAAATTCAATCAGCTGACTGACAGCAGCTTAACATTGGCTAATACTAAGCTAGAGGTCATGTAAAACAAATTAGGCTGTATTAGCCAAACTCTTGTATGTAGTTCAACAAGCAAAGGGAATGTTCTCTTCCAGCTGAGTCATTCAGTAGAACACATGTAGTATGGGATATCTCGCAGGATCTTTTTGGTGAAGTGGAAGTAGATCTTTTTGCTTCGCTCACTGCCCCTACTTCTCCATAACCATGGTTTTAATAGTTTTGCAATTTTCATTAGTTTTTATTTTTATTTAGTTTTGACTTCAGATTTTCAATTTTATATCAGTTTTAATTAGTTTTTACCAATTGTTTGCTAGTTTAGTTTTT